TTGTGATGAAAGAAGAAATGGGGAGAGAAGAAATGTTTGCATTTGACGAGATAATCGAATGATTGAAATGTTGAGCTGAATCTTTATTATCGATATCTCGATCTTAATGTAAATTTTTATATATGGAAAAATATCTGTGATGAAAGAAGAAATGGGGGGAGAAGAAATGTTTGCATTTGACGAGATAATCGAATGATTGAAATGTTGAGCTGAATCTTTATTATCGATATCTCGATCTTAATGTAAATTTTTATATATGGAAAAATATCTGTGATGAAAGAAGAAATGTTTGCATTCGACGAATTAATTAAAAAGTTGAAAAATGAAAGAGAATAATTGTTTATTGCGAATATTAATAGCCGAATTCGTCGAATGCGAACTCGAAATAACTGAAAATTCTTCCTACTTTTGAAAGTAATTAACCATCCCCCCGTACCGTAACGAATCTTTCGAATCGACTGATCGAACGGATATTAAATATTAGCGGAAAGAGAGGATTTTGCAGCGTATTATCAGCATCGAGATAAAAAAGAAAAAGAAAGAAGAAGAAGAAGAGAAAAAAAAAAAGGTTATATAAGACGCATTGACAGGTTCGCTCTACTCTCTGCTGGTCGCATTCCAGACATGCGTCGTTCTCAGGCGACGGAGACGACGAGGGGTTGGAAAAGCGCGGAAAACGCGGCGGAGAGCTTGTCTGCCGTTCAAGAAATGTAGCCTCATAAGTGTCAAGCGCATTTTCCCGCTGCCACTTATCCGGGAGACAATATCGAGCGGCTGAGGAGCGCGTGGCCTGCGCGCCGGATGCAACCCCCTGTGTGCACCCTCTCTCTCTCTGTGTGCATCGTGGGCTGGCGGTTTTCAGCCGAGAACGGAATGCAGCCAGGTGGATGCAGCAGGACATTGTGCATCCTCCATCTCTGTGCTCCCCGCAGGGATGATACATGGTGGATTAATTGAACTGTCGAATATTGACATTCCGGTGAAAACGGCGCGTGTTTACGTCGTGATGGTGCCCGCGCCTTTGTACATTACCCTCCCTCCCGATTCGATTCCCTTCCTTTGCCCATCTCCCCTTTCCATTCTTTGAATTTTTCCAACTTTATTTGCGTGTATTAATTCGTTCCCCCCTTCGGTTATGTCTCTTGTCGAGATTCTAATAGGTTTCGATGATTCGATATTTGTTTCAGTATCCCTTTGCAGTCGATCGTACGCAATAATCGGTTCAATTTGCAAATATTCGATTCACGGATCAGATACCAGAGGTAATAAACGAATCGTAAAGCGGCTCGAATCGAACGATAATCTTATTCTTATGAATAGAAAGAATAGGTGGACAGAGCTTCCGTCTTTTTTATTTCGAGCGTGTATCTATAGTTCCATTAACGAAGGATTCTTTGCTGCGAGTGATATCTTTAATTTACAAACAAATCCAACAAATATTCTTTGATTTCACGTATTAAAATGATCCATCACCATTCGATCATTTACACTGTTCTACTATTAATTTATTCGAGCCTCTTTTTTTTTTTTTACATTTCAAACATCGCGTTCGACATTAGCTCCATTGAAAATCCGTGTCTTGAACGCGCAAAGGGACGTTCCGGTTAATCGTCGATTATTGCGGGACAATGGTAAAAGCGGGAAAGCATGCTTATCCAATTTGTTCATGGGGGAAAAATGGAGGAGAAATCGAGCGCAAGCTAGTAATGGCAATTAGCCGTATATAGCACGATACAACGAAATCGGAATTTTACCCCTTTGAACCTCCCTATTCTTCAAAGGGGAGGCCTTATAATTTTTATTTCACGGAGATATTATTCGCTCTTTCTCCGTCGAATCGTTTTCGACTCTTTCTCGAAATCGTTTTTCTCCCCCTTCCCTCGTTTTCGATAATATCGTAATTCCTCCCGCGAGATCAGGTTGACAAATCGAGCGATGCTCGATATTTAAAGGCGATAAAAGCGGGATTATCGACGAGAATCGTCCAATCTCTTAAACGTCGATTTAACGTCCTTTTCGTCTTTCCGATACTTCGCTTCTTAACTCGGTTCTTAATTCAAGAGGCATCAATTTTCAGGCGATACGGACACGCGAGGTCAGCTCCAATCGGGGGATTTGACTTAACTTTGAATTATTAAAGATATATAGGTATATTGCAGATTCTCTCTTGAAATAAAATATACTTTTTGAACATTGTCAAAATTATCGTTTCTTCTCACGTTTACTTGTTTTGATCATTTCTTCAATTTTTTCTTAGATACGATATTTTTGGAATTATAATCAAAATTTTATAGATAACGGGATGTTATAGATATAATATCTCGTCCCTTGGTTAATATTTGAGCATATATAGGGACTGTATATAAGGGGAGAAGCGAGGAAAATTGCCCTGTTTACGTTTCGAAAGAGGCTTTTAAAGCAGAGCGACGATAATGGGACGGGTTTTGTCTGCATTTACCAGTAAATTATTCGCTACTAATGCGACAGGCATACGACGATCGCTGGGACGAAGATATCTTGCGCGAGGTATGAAAGAAGCCACGGAATTGTTTTCAGTTTTGGCCGGGGACAAAGAGCTCGTTAAGGATCGATCAAAATTTCACGCGGTCCGAGGTCCCTTTGACGTCGTTCCTCGCTCCTGCTCCTCGCTTTGACTCGATAAAGTACGTAGGGGGAGAGGATCGAGAAAATTTGCCATTTACCACGTTATACGATATAGCGTTGTACGCCGCTATTAACGGGGCCGCATAGACCCCTTCGCAGATTATAATAGGAATGTGAATTTTCTGTGCACCTTTGTTATTTGGGCCATGCGTGATAAGGGAAATAGCGCGTGATAAAGGAACTATCCGAGTGTAATTTCGAAAATTGTTCGTCCATTTATGGGATATCGTTCGAACGGTAATAAACATCGAATAACGATAAAATTTCTCTTAAAGAATTTTATCTTTTCACGGTTGTTTCTCTTTTCCTCCCGTAAATCTCGCGTAAAATTCTTAGGATATTTTTAACTTTTGGGTGCATCCAATTTCGAATATTCGAAAATCGAGATTTTATTCTACAATAGTTTAAATTATCTATAGTTTAGTCGTTGATAATTGATGACGAAACTTTAATATTCGGTTCACAAAAGTTTATCGTGACGATGATACAAAGAAGATAAAATACAATAATGGGATGGACACGTACGTGGAAGAAAGAAAAGATGGAACGATAGTTACATCCATTTCGGGGCAAAGAAGGCGCGAACGAGTCCGAGGCGTTAATTACCGTATAAAGTGAAGAGTCGAACGAGGAGGAGGAGTAGGAAGCAACTTTTCTCCGCGAAGGAACAACGTTTTCGTTGGGAGAAAGAAGCGAGCAGGAAGCCTCGTTCTTCAAGAAAATTAAGCCAATTAACCCCTCGAGTTCAAGAAAGAGAGAGAGAGAGAGAGAGACAGACAGTTCAGAAAGAGAGTTCCTTTCAGCTGGCAGCAGTCCAGCGATTCCGCCAATCCCCTGTTTCTGGGGAAAAAGCCTGTGGCTGGCGATCCGTCGTCGATGAAACTTTCCACGATGCGTCTTCCAAACCATTTCTGCAAACAGTAATTAAACCCCCTTCCGCGATTAATCAAACGTCTCTTTCCTTTAATTTCTCTCTGGAAATTTTCCTCCGAGAATATAACCGAGTTGCGAATATTACCCTCGCGTCTCTTTTCCATTTTTCCTTTCTTTTTTTCTCTCTGCACTTCTCGCTTGTTTCTACAATTTTTTTTTTCCTCCCCCAAAGTGGAAGCAGAGAGACCTTTGCTCGTATCGTATCGGTATTCGTATCGTCAATTGACGGCCAGCCTCGAATATATTCGGTCGATCGCGATTCTTTTCCATTCATCAACCGCTGTTGTGTTCGATTCTGTAACGCCTCGCGCTATCGCGCCGTGGCAATAATAACGAGAAGGAATAATGGTGGCCGGTGAAAAGCTCGATGAATATGGTTCGTTGGAGTGCAGTCGATTCGACTCGTATCGACGAACGTTTCTGTGTCGAAGGGGAGGAAACGATCGTTTCAAACATT